TTCCCCCCCATTCCCTGCTTCCAGCACCTGCCTGGGACAGGGAACACCCCCCCCATTCCCTGCTCCCAGCACCTGCCTGGGACAGGGAACACACCCCCATTCCCTGCTCCCAGCACCAGCTCCTGCCCCGTGTTCCACTCGCACACATTCTCCTCTCAATCCTTCCCCCTGCAGGCAAAGCCAGCTCGGGGATGGTCTCACACAAGTGACCTCGGGAACTCCCCTGGGACCTGAAACTCCTCTGGGGTTTGTTCCCAGCTCCACACCCCCAACACACCCCCAGACCAGGCAATCCGTGAGCATGGCACTGAAAATAACTCATCCTGCAGCCCATTATTTACAAATATTTAAGGTAAACACCAAAAATCTTAAAGCCTTCACGAGATTTTAAAACCTTATAAATCTTTAAAAAGGTCTTAAAATCCAAAATCCTCACAAAATCTTAAACCCGTATAAAAATCTTAAATCTTTATAAAACCTTAAATCTTCATAAAATCTTAAGTCTTAAAAAAAAAAAACTTAAATCTTTGTAAAGTCTAAAATCTCTCTAAAGATCTTATAATCTTCATAGAATAGATCAGCACTTCCCCTTCTTCCCCACTTCTCCCTATTCCAAGTTATGATTTGGTTCTATGTGAGTTATTTAATATAATTATTATTCATACATATCAATAATTATTTCACATATAAATGACAGTAATCAATTAATATATATCAATAATACACATATATCAATAATTATTTCACATAATCATCATTTTTGAGATATAAAATTCTCAAGGCTGTGGAGCTGAAATTCCAACCCTACAGGATTTATTTATTTATTTAAATCTGAATTATTATTCTAAGCAATCAATCTATATAAATTTTATCAGCCCTGGTTGCACCTGGGACAACCATTAAGTTTTGTGTTTCTTTAAAGCAAGGTCTCATTTTTGTGTCAAAGACTTTATTATGAGCATTCTCTGTATAAAGTGAAAATTTACATGAATAGTTGGATGAAAAATGGGGGGTTTTTTAGGAGGTTTTTGGGTGTTTCCTGTTTATTTTTAAATCAGAAAGAGAAATCTTCAATAAGTCACAAAGATATTGACTATGATACTGGCAAAGTTCAGTTTTACAAAGCTCCACAAGAAGAAGTTCAAGAAGAGGAAAGTTATCAAATAAACCCCTCTATTAAAAAAAACAAACTTTGGAGGAGTTGAACACTCAAAAAATAAAGTGTCACTAAACCAAATTTGCCTTTTTCTGTACTCACACTTTCTAGCACCTCTGCATTAGTTGTGGTTTGTCTCTGTAAGTTCTTTTACTTAAAAAAAAAGATCTGAATGCTAACAAAAAACCCCAGATTTTGAAACAGCACCAGAAGACACAAACAAATGTATTTTTTTTAAAGACATGAAGTTATTCTGGCACTCAGAATACAGATTTTAAGAGCATTGTTCCCCTAAAAAGGGAAAAAATCATTCAAAGCTGATTGTTCATTCAAAAATCATCCATATCACTAAAAAGGGAAACAAGTCATTCAATGTAAGAGGATTAATTCTATGTAAATCTTTTGATAGCACGTTGTACAAACTATTATTTTTATTTTTTTTACTATTATTTTTACTATTTATTCAGAAATAAGCTTAGGTGGTTTGGAAACAAAAGCTCCAAGGAGGACTAGAAAGAAAGGGAGGCTGGGAAAATTCCTCTATCTTCTGGGAAGAGAAATCTGCTGTGTAACAGCTTAATTTGATGTATTTGCTGGGGTTTTTAGTGTTTCCCACAGCTCCAGGGGAGGCAAATGAACTGTCCAGCAGGGAAGAAAACCAAATTATAACCATGGCTACAGGGTTGTTTCAAGTCCTGAACATGAGAGAAGGAACACGGGAGGGAGATCCCCAGGAGATGGGGGGGAAAGCAAAGCCAACAAACCAGATGAATAAAGTCAATGTCTGGGGAAAGTCTTGGAAAAACACAGCCAGTGGGATGGGGAGGTCTGGGAGCAGAGGCTGGAAGTCAGTCCCAGCCTGTGGGACACAGTCAGGGGTGAGGGCTGGTGGTTTGTCACAGAAATGATACAGAAATTATCTTGTGAGCACAGAAAAGCAGTGACGACTCAATCCATTAAAAAATTCCAGAAGTGGCCCATTCCCAGGATCTTTATTTTGCAGGGAGCAGCGTTAACCAGCACAGGATAATCTCCAGAGCCACCCCCCAGGCTTTGGTAGCTCCCTGGGATGGGCTGGGGCCAGATCAGCTCCTCCAGCCAGGCCCAGGCAGAGGCAGCATTAAAGAATTCCTGGTTCATTAAAGAATTCCTTTATCCCAAGGGCTGCAGAATCCCAGAGCCAGCCTGGCCACCACAAACCACCAGCCCTCAGTGGGAAAGTCCCTTCTCTCCACCCCAACTCCAACCCAGGTCACGCTGTCTGATGGAGGAGAGGGTTTTATTCCCACATTTCCCATCACTCCTGCCCTGGATGGGTAAAGCACCCCGGGAATTCCGGGTTTAAATCCAGCCCCCAGTGCTGGTGCCTCAGGAGCAGGGCAGTGCTGGGCTCCCTGCTGGAGGAATTCCCTGGGAGGGAGTGATCCCTCTGCTTCAGCCAGAGCTGGAATATTTTATTCCATTCTTTAAACCTTATTTAAGACCAAGTAGGAGAGTTCAGGAAAGGACAACAAATCAAACCAGAAACCAGCCAGTGACTGGAGGGATTCCTCAGGATAAAACACAATTGAAGGAAAGGTTGGCAAAGCAATGGTGGGGAAAAGGGACATGGAGACAGTGCCAGGTGTTAAAGCATCAAACCCCAGGGAGATGGAATTGGTACTAAAGGATGCAGGAATGTTCAGGAGGGAAAAACTGAAAGGGAAAAAAAGGCCTTTACTATGAGGTAAACAGCAAAGAAGTGTCCAGGGTCTCCCCTGGACAACACAGGGCTCCTCCCCTTCCCAATTCCCTTGTTCCCTGAAATTCTGTCTGTCCCTCCTCGGGACAGCTTTCCTGCCACATTCCCTCCCTGCTGCACTGACCAGGACACAGCTGAGCCACCTCCTGTTCCTAATGCAATTTAATTCCCCCGAGTTAAACCCCACCAAGGCAAAGCTCTGCTGGAGCTGAGGGAGCTGTCAGGGCTTACCTTTGAGGGAATTCAGCGAGAACATCTCCATCCCCGTGGGAAGGGTGGCTTCCTGGGACAGCAGGAGGGAGCAAGGAGAGACAGCAAGTTAGGATTAATATTTCCTTCAAAGTGTTTCAAGTGCTTCTGCTTTGCCTCCACAGTGACAAAAATTTGGGGAGGTTTTAAAACCTTTATTAGGCCAGAACCGAGTCACTTATTGCCATTATTCTCCTTTTCAAAGGAAAAAAAAAACAGAAAAAAGAGAAGTCCTTTTGATAACCTTCTTTGCTGAAAGTGTGTTAAACTTCTTATTTTAATTTCTTATTAAAAGAGCTTTCAGTCACATAAGAAAAAAACAACTGTGTTTTGTGGTGCTTTATTTCAGGCCAGAGATCAAATACATTGCAGGAACTCTTGGAACAGAGTAACAGGGATTTTCTAACCCCCTTGTACCAGAAGGGTGAGGACTGAGGAGCCTCATTTATACAAAGTGAACAAAGTTTGGAGCTGGACTTCCATGGTCCTGGTGGGTCCCTTCCAGCTCAGGGTATTTTGTGATTCCATGGACATTAAATCCCTCTGAATGACTTCCTGTGCATG